CTCTTTTTTTTCTTCTTTTCTTTAATTCTCCTATTTTTTGCCTGCATAAACTGCCATAAACCCATCTTGTATGACGTCACCAGCTAGTTTAGTTTTGGTCGTCAGGTCCACACGTTCTGAGCACTACTGTAAGGCAGGGGCGATGGCTGGCTTGTTTGACAAGGTAATCAAAGTGAGACAAGGAGCCAGGTAGATATGAGGTCACACACGAAAAGATTTCCCACATTAAGGGTATAATAAACAAAATTTCTTACTCGATGCAACAATAAACAAACTTCTTACTCCAGGCGACATCACTGAGTTGTGAACGAAAACAAACATTTTAATCCTTAGTTCATATTATTGTAGGTTCAACCGCTCAAAAAACCGGGAAAATGTCTAATTAAATAAGCTTATTCATTCCCACTTTGAGCAAAACGTAATCATAACTTATAAACGTGCCCTGGGAACAATGGTCTCAAGAGAGATGTAAAAGCACAAACAAAAAGCAAAGAAACAGAGATGACAATACTACGTATGTATTAAAATACATATATGGAAATTATCAATTTGACTTCATATTTAGCTGTATTTGTCTAGTGTCTAGACTTTCGCAGCCAGGAACCAGTGTCATAAGCAGGTCATGACCTGATTATAGGGTGGTAAAAAGTCGAGGGAAAAAAACCCCCAAGTACTCACAGCTGTCATGACAAAAAATTATTAACAGTTAATTTCCCTCATATTTTTTATAGGTAGACTCTACCGGTCTAAATGTTAGCTTATTCTATCACTGTTTGTGACTGCTTATGACATTGGCCCAAACGGAATTTAGAATAGGTGTAATTCTTTCAAAAGGAATTTGTTTGACATAAAATTCACAAAGAAGAAATTTATTTTGGAAAACGGGTATAGCTTTTACAAAAAGCCACCTATAAATGCAAAATTCACCAATTTAAAGGATCTCCTAAGTAGCGTCGAGAAATGGTTCGTTTGTTTTTCGTCCCCCTGTGGACTCGACACAGTTTAATGCGTCGTTCGTAATGTTCAGCGGTGGCCAAACACAAGGATCCACTCAATCATGAGTACTGAAAGCCACACACGCTCTACACCTTACAGTATGGAGCTGTTTCTAGAGATAATAGGGGCGGGGGTGAGGTTGCCAA